GTACGATCCATCGAACACGCGCGTATACGCAATCTTATCGGTAGAACTGCCAAGTATGGCGAATTCTTTTCCATCAAGTGAATACATTACGAATTCTTTGCATGAATCTCTTACGTGTTTTCCTTCGAAGTTTCCTTCGATTGAAAAATACACGTGCTAATAGGATAATTCCGGAAAACCAATAGTCCTCCTCAATTCGAGGTTATACATCGTTGAAACCAGACAAAATTGGCAGACTTGTGAAAATAAACTCTTATTTAATAATTATTTGAATAAAATTATTTTACTAATAGTTTTAAATAATATTGTTTGAATATTTAATACATGTTTCAAAAGATAAATTATTTTAATGTTTGATATAATTTCATATCTTATTTAATTTCATTATAAAAATATGAAGATTTCTCTCGTATCTAGATACACATATGTTCCTTTTTCTAATTTTTGAATTTCGTAATTATTTTCCTGAAGATGTTCTAATTGTGTTTCTTATGTAAGAAGTGTATTATTTATTATACTTCACTTTCTCTTATTATTTGAAATAATTAAATGTTTGGCAAATAAATAATTTGAAAATAATTTATTTCATAAATAAAATTTTAGAATTTATTTGCAAACATTTCTATTGCAAATAAATTTATTTCCTGATATTTAAATATATTTGAAGTAATTATTTTTTCTTCTTATTTTTTATCTTTATTATAACAAAAAATATCCAATCCTGATATCAGATTGTTATTTTGTACTTTTGTTATAATTTTCCAATACATGCATTCATATTGATATTACTTTTTTTTACGTTTTGGTATCGATTTATGCAAGAGCTTGAGTCATCTTGTATTTGAAAATTTGCAAATACATATCCAGTTAATTATCCATCGTTTTTCTAGAAATAACCAAGAAAATTCCAAATACATTTGGCAACAGATTTATCATAAAATATTGTGAAATTGTCACGATATTTAAAATTTAATATGATTTATTGCTAATAACTATTCAAATATATTGAGAAATTAAATAAAACAAGTTAATTGACACGTTGTTATATGTATACTTCGAAATTGCGCATAAAATTCTGCATTTAGTATTCTAAAGTATCAAATGTAAAATGCGTTGAAAAACCTTGGCAATGAAATGAAACACGTTTTTGATGAAATATACATATATGAAACGTTTATGTATTCCATTTTGCAGCGATTTTTTAAAAACATTAATGCGTTATAAGATACGAAGTCTCTAATTTTATTTCCTCACGTATTTATTTTTCTTATTGTTTCTTTAAAATTTTCCATTTTTTTTTTATCTTCTTAAAGTAATCAAACGATATAATCTTTCCAAATATTTGCCGCAATAAATTTTACATTTTTGTTATTCATCAAATTAAACTTTAAATCTCTGTGTTATTAATTACCTCAATAAATACTTCAATTAGTGCCACATTTTCCTTTTTCTACATCAGCATTATTGTGCAAGGGATTAAAATGCAATATTACGCAACAGAATAAGTATTTGTTATAAAGTTCACTATAAATCTCTATTATTAATATTATTTCTATTATTAATTACCTCATTAAATTAATTTTAATTAATATCACATTCTCCTTTTTTTCCCCCCCTCTTATCAATACAATATTGTGAAATGAAATAAATCTTCGTTCTAAAATTCAGTATAAAAATAATTGATAATTAAAAATAATCCTTAGTGATCTTTCCGAAGAAGTATTTTGCAACTTTGTGGGTCATGGTTTTACGTTAAGCCGTAGATTTTGAAATATAAACAAATTTGACAGAAGAATAAAAAAATAAAAAATGATTATAACAGCCAATTAAAAGAAAAAGAAGTTTTTTATCTTTTTATAGATTTGAAAAATATATATATATATATGTATATATAAATTATATATAAAATCAAAAAATATAAAATATAATAAATTAAAAATGGCAAAAGTATTTTCGTTATAAATATTTTAACATTTAAAATATTTTTAGTAATTCATTTATATATGTATATATATATATACAAATTAATTAAATTTTTTTTCTATAAATAGTATAATAAAAATAATTACAGAATTATCTATTAATTTCTCACTTCACATCGAATTCTAAAAATTGCGTATGTTATTCACGTTATATAAATTCTGGGAGTGAAAACTACGTGAAATTCAAAGAAACAAGTTCAAGTTCGATTTTACAGTAGACTACTAAATTATGTTATATTTGTACGATCGTCCTCGAGCCAACTTTACTTTTGCGGTAGACGACAAAATTTAGACCAGACAGAGTTTATGGCGGATAAACGGAATTTCAGAATTTTTCGCGACATGGATAACATCGATGACGACGAATCGAATAGTCGCCAACCACGAATGCCAGAAACATCGATGCTTCGTGACTTATAATTTCGTAGTTACTTTAACTTTGATGTCATCCAGAATATTCTACATACATGTCGATCATAAAAATCTTCGAACGTCTTATGCAATCTTAACTAATAATCTTAATGATAATTCTTTTTTTAATGAATAATAAAAAGTTACGAATGCATAGAATTTCGAATTCATTTTGAGAGAATAAAATTATTGTTTTTATGTTTTTTTTTTCATTTCTTTAAAATATAAATTTATGATACGATAAGATAGGATAAAATTTTAAATATATAACATTCAGATTTTTTATCCTTTTGTAAAAAAAATATTTTCAAAATTCGAAATTATATTTGTACGTTAAAAAAATTCTGAAAATTTAAAAATTGCTTTCACCTTCTCAAATAAATTTTCTTTATAACAGTTGTTTCACATTACGCTCTATATACACTCAAACTTTCATTTAAATCTGAATTTTTAAGTAAGATATATTTGCTTATAAAATAATATATGATATCTCGTATGAATGACTTGCTGTGGTTCTTTTATTTTATTATAATATATGTATGGAGGACGATGTAAATGAGATAACTCGTATATCTTCGTTATTTTTATAGATGTGGAAAAATTTTATTTGTGAAACAGCAAAGCTTAGAAATTGAAAAGCATTGTGTGAAATAAAAAAATATAAAAGAAAGAGCAGATAAAAATTTCTCAAAATATTCATTTATAAATCGTATTTAAAAAAGATTTCTTCCAAGATTTCTTATTCTTCGATAAATGATCATCGTTTGTTATTTAAAAAAAAAAACTCAAAAAGTCAATTTTTCTTTATAAAAATATATATATATATATATATATATTTATAAGTTAATATTGAAAAACATAATAATAAGTATAAAATAGAATGAACGGTGCGATGATAACATATTAAATTTATACTTGTAATATGTACGATTGATAAGAAGTATAATTATTACATTGAGACAAAAATATCAATTTTTTAGTTCAAAGTTGATATATCATATGATATATATACATATATACGACGATATAATTTTGAAGTGCAAATAATGATATTTATGTATGATTACTACATCAATTTATTAATAATATTATATATTTATAAAGAAATATTTATATACATTTTTTCAATTTTATATATATATATATACATACACACATTATTTTTATTTGTTCATAAATACATATGTATTATTGAAAAAAATAAATTTATGCGAAATGGTATGTCGCTTTACATTTCTTCCACTTAGTTGAACGTATACATTTTACTTATATTTCATTTATTTTATCTAATTTTTCAATTTCACGTTTTATTTTATCGTAGAAATATCTTCTTCTTTCAACAACGTTATAATATTTAGACACAAATTATATAAAATTATAATAGAATATAATTTTCAATTGCAGCGTGTATTTTTGAATAAAAATTATTATGAAATAAGAATTGTAACTTATCACACTGATAATTAAATTCTACAAATGCTCGGCCACGGAATACAAGTATAGCAGGTTTAAATTTACGCGCGCGTAGCTGAAAATATTGAAGGCGATTGGATAGACGTCGGTCCTCTTGAAAGTACTTCTTGTGCATTCAAATATAAACTCAGAAGCCAGGTCACGGCTTGAAAATAATTCTGGGCATTTAGGAAGGCAACCCATTGCTTTTAGACCGACATAGACTTGTGACGCATATAATCCCCTTTGCCTCCCTTACCGACTATGCTCTCATTTCGATGACACCCTTCATCGAATCATTGAAATCAAAAGATTTAACGCAATTAAAATAATTTATTCTTTAGATAAAAAATTAATAATTTTATATGGATATTTTATTTTATTAAATAATTTATTCTTTTTTATTCATTCTAGTGTTAATTTATAGCTAATAAATCCATCTTCAACGTCAATGGTAATGTTCGGAAAAATAAATAATAAATAGTAATTAATAATAATAAAAATAATAATAATGATATTGGTTTAAAATAATTTATCTAATTTCTTCTTTTATTAATAATAATAATGATAATATTAATTACAAATTAACATCTACTGTTGATAAATATTATTTGTAGAAAAATATAGATATTATTTTTAAACTTTTATTATTACTTTTTTGAATGATTTATATTCTTTATCTCTGAAAATACACGTAAAGACTCAAGTAGAATCTTCCACGAATTTTTTTAAAATTTAGCACATAAATATTATCTCATAAAGAAAAAAAATGCGCTAGATAATAAGAATACATGCAAGTATTTTTTATTAGTTATTATAATTATTTAATATGTATGATGATGCATCTTAATGTTCTTTTACAAAAACACAATCGAATTTAGTGTTTAGAATTGAATAGAATTTAAAATTTAGTATATTTCAATTACAAAGTCTGCATAATAATAAGAAATTTAGCGGAGAAATAAACAATTTTTCTATTTCTCATTATCAGAAAGATAAAAATGAAAATAGATAATATGTTCGATCTTTAGCATTTTTTGAACTTCATCAACTTCGTAACACACGAAAACACTTATGACGGCTACCGTGGTTGTGTATGCGTTTCTCTTTTAAATTAGAAATTTATATTAATTTCATTCGTTTTTATTGTTTCAGAATCCTTGCAATTGTTGTCGCATCTTGGTGAGTGACCTTACATTAATGGATTATTTAAGAAATGTTCATATCTTAAACAAATCCTAAGGCACTTATTTCGGGAAAGAAAAATTAATTAACTCGAAGTTTTAATTTGTTATTTTATTATTTACATTATAATCCATTGCTCTTTCCTTCTTCGTAATTCTTTAGAGGTGTGATTTGAAATTATATTATTTACAAATCATTACACAATCACCGTTTTGCATATACCATTTTTAATTTTCCTCGAAAACAATTCTATTTCTATATGCTTTGGCTACTTGAAATCATATAAATTAATGATTAAGGTTAGGATTCAAAGGAATCTCTGTGTTGCTCTTCCGGATTTTTCAACTTTTGGTTTTTTTTGTCCATTATTCGATCCGGCAATCATTGTAATCCGGTCTCTATAATTAATTTAAAATAATTTTTTTCAATAACTCGTGATCAACGTCAAATATGATAACCTCACGCGTTGGATAGGTTAGGCTAGATTAGATTAGGTTATGTATTAAGAATTTAGTGTATTAGCTAAATTAAGCTTCGACTCTTCTTCTGCACTGCTTGTCATTACAATTCTTTGTGATTAATTTTCAACTAGCTTTTTTTAACAATTTATAATGATCAAATATAATTAACTCACGGTTGTCTTTAGCTTTTTAATAACTGTCCTATTTATCTAGGCTTACATAATCTACTTTATCTGATTAAAAATATAATCAAATTCTTCGTTCATTTAAAAAAAGAATTTATTGTGAAGGAGAAAAAATTAATTCGAACAAAAAAATTACTTATTACAAATTATATTAATTATATCACAAATTTTCGTTAATTTGAATAAACAAAATGATTATCTAATCTAGTGATCATATAATAATAAGCCCATAATGAAATTTAGAGTTTTCTTCATAAACTTTTCTTTTATACAATTCATTATTATTCTTGTTAATTTTACATTCTCATGAAAATAATTTCATGAATGAGATGATATGAGAGAAATTCATTAAAAAAATTCCATGATTCCATTTTTGTCTAAACGGTAATTCATAATCAACGAGATGTACTGGCATTTTATTTTTGAACTTATATTGATGTCGCTTTCACTAGTGTAAATAATGTTTTCTATAAAAATTATATGTATATGTATTACATATACATATTTTCTAACTTTTTAAAATTGTATGAATAAACTTGTTATGAAATAACAAAGTATGACGTCGTTATAATAGTATATCGATCACTTCTGCGTTTACGCATATACGTAACGTACTTTCCTATTGTTATAGATAAATCGATTTTCAAGCGATATTATTATCAACGTCCACATTGTGTACCATTGAAGCCTAACCTTCTCTAGTCTATATATTTTCTTATATTAAATATTATATCATCTGACATTTCAAAGGCTGATACTGGCTAAGAATATATTACTCTTTTAATTAAATTTAAAAATGTGAAATATATATGAAAAATGTCACATTTTAATTTTGCATAATCTTAATTAAATTAAAAAAAAATCATAATGTAACATTTAATACTTGAATTAATGCCACTTCTATATATAATAATTTTTATATAAAAAAAAGTAAAAATTATAATCAATATAACGAAAGTTTTAAAAGAAAAATCTTAGAAAAAAAATTTTTTTTTTAAATTAATGAAACTTTAGGAATATCAATAGACACGAAATATACAAGTTTATTTTCTCGCCAAAATTTACTCCAAATTAAAATCATTTTCAGAAAATTTGATTATTTTGTAATTATGTTTTTAATTTTTTTTTTTTAATAAGCTGAAAACTCACTTACTCAACAATGACTTTTTTCTGTATTCAAGTAATTCAAAAACTGTGAATTTTTAGTTCATTATTGCAATTAGTACACGATTAGATTATAAACAATCTATATGTATAAATAGATATTATGTATTAACGATAAAATAATTCCACTTTTATGAATGAAATAATAATCATCTAGAAAATATATTATAGAGGGAATTTTTCGATAAATTTTATATTTAATATCAATTGTTTCATTAGATCAATGATCTCTATCAGACTCGATAGCAGTAATTCTATTTTCGCTTAATCGCTAAACTAAGCGGCACGACGTCTGAAAATAGCTTAAGGCGGTAACTCTCCATGAAGTCGATCAATCGGTTTCTAATTGAAGAAACTTTCCGTGGTATAGCAACGAGAGATGCCATGTTTCCAACACGTGATATTTACGTGTCCTTTTGACGTCAATAGGACGGAAAATCTGCGAAATTCGATCTTGCGAAAATTCGAATCATTAATTGAAAATGGCAGGAAATTCTATGATTTATTGCTCATATTGAAATTATACACGTTATTATATTTAATACGATGAAAAATTAATAAAACGACAGATTGATAATTTCCTGTCAAAATTCATTTTTAAAAATTTAATCTATGAAATATTATCTATATATTATATTACGATTCACGTGCTTATTTTTAAATATAATTTTATATTATGTTTGATATAAAAATTATTTGTTCATTTAGAATGAGTATATATCATAAAATAAAGAAGAAAGGTATTAAGCTTTTAATACTATTTAATATACTATAATGGAAGAAAAGAGTAAGTACAAAAAAATATGATAAAAAGATATGATAAATTATTTTTATTAATTATAAAAAAGTTTAAATATTGCTGCTTTATGTTATATATACATAAGAATTTTATAAATGACATAATTTCACTTTTTATATTTTTTTTATACTTATATTTTGGTTTTTAAAAGAAGAAAGAGTTTTCATTTAATGTAAAACTCATTTATGAGTGTAATAATTATAATAATATAATCTTACAATATATGTACAATATAATAATAGTGGAATTATACATATATTAATAGAAATTTAAATATTAAATATTAAAGAGCAAGAAAATATTTGATTAAAATGACAATCAATCAATCAGTTTATAAGAATTTAGATTTAAAAATGTGTTAAACTTTGTAAAAGACATTGAAAAGAACAATATATAGTTTTTTTTAATAATGGACTGAATTCAGACAATTTGACATCAAATGATTTAGGAGGATGTAAATATCTTTTAAATCATTTCATGTTAAATTGCTTGGGAAATTTTTATTATATCCTTAAAAAAAAAAATGTATTATCTTAAGAATACTATTATCATAATAATTAATAAATTTACTTATTCTTTACTGATTATTATTTCTTTAATGGGCATAAAAAGAAGGGAATTCCAATATTTAAATTTTTCATTAATATTTATTTTAAAATTGAAAATTTAACATTTTTAATTGAATTTTCGTTGTTTACTCGCTGATTTATTCATATTCCTAAAAAATACATCTATCTTCTTATTATAGCAGATAATAGATTTCAATTTTTTGAATATTTATATGAAAATATGCATATAAGATCTCTATAAAAGATTCTTAATAATAAAAGATATAGAAAATAATTCTATATGCAAAAATCGATCAGAAAAAAGAACCAAATTTTTTTTAGCTAACTTTATTTTCGATAAAATCAAGATTAAAAACTTTTCAAATGCAAGTGAATTTGGCTAATTTCCAATTGGCATGAATATGGATTATTGGTAAGAAGATAAGTAAAAATATATAAGAAGTGTAGAATTGAATTTTGTTGCTTAAATTTTTTTTTTTTTAAGAAAATTGAAATTGAAAGTTAATAATTAAACAATGAATTTAAAAAATTTTCAAAATCTAATTTTGGAAAATTAATTTTCAAAAAAAGATTTCATATTTTATTAAAAATTTCATATTCTAAATAATTCCATGATCTTGATCTTTAATCTAAAAATGAAATAAGATTTATCAATTCTAAACTTTAATTTATAAATATCAATTATCAATAATTGATTAATTTTATATATATAATCAAAACTTATTTAATTAAATTTATCGTTGAAAATAATTTTTCTATTGCATCTTATCGTGCAATTTATATTCAAAAAATAAATGCTTTTGAAATATTATAGTTTTTAGAACGATTTCTGATGTATGTATACTTTGAACCTTGGCCAATAAGCGTTTTTATAGCAGGAAAGAATTATACATTTGCGTCAGAAGGTTCCTTCACGTTTCAGACAAATGGTTCTAAACTGTCCGTATTGAAGCCGGTTGAAACAATGTTGTTTACCTCCAACGATTTGCTGAATACAAAGAGGCATCTGTCTTCGGTAATTTTGCTTGTAAATTCACCCTAGTTATCGGCCATACTTGCACACGCAGATGACAACAGGTACATCAATGTAAATTATCAAGATGCAGATATTTGTCATTTGTTGACAATGAATTTGCGTATTGTCAATAATCGTCAAAACAGACTCGAATGTCATGTGAAAATAATCTTGGGAATTATAGCATCTAATACGACCATTTCATTGTTCTATTGTTTTTAAAGTACACCTTTAACCTTGTTGAATATGACAAAATAATTAATTGATGAAATGATCTATAGGTTGGAGAGTTTTAATTATTTATAAAGACGGATGTTTTTCGGATCGATTTCGATTCGACCTTAAGATATGTTGCGAATGTCAATATCTTGAATAATTTTGTTTGTAACCTATAATCATTGGACAATTTTAGTTTTAATGATATAATGCTATGTTATTGCAAAAATATTTAACATATATTAATATTATTCATATTAATATTTGGAAATTTTGAATATTATTTTCGAATTTGTTATTTTTTATGCGAGAAAATTATTTAAATATATAGTTTGTTGTTTATTATATCTTATATTTATGATTTATGAGACATTCACTGTTTATACTAGCTTTCAAATAAAAGAATGATATATTAAAAAAATTATTTCGAATATAAAACTAATTAAATGACATTAATAAAAGTATTTATAACTATAATAACTATATCTTCATATTATAAATAAATATTAATTATATTTAATTATATATTATAAAATTAATTGTATTTATTTAATAATATATAATTAATAATTCTTTCATATAGAAAGTAATAAATTCAAATAAATATAGAAATGTTAACGTGAGTAATTGTATATTGTACTTTTGCATTATTACACTCTAAAATTTAAAGTATGTTTTGGCATATGTGGTTGCATATCATCTGATCTATTTTTATTTATACTAATCGATACCAAATCATTGAAAAATAACTTTCATTCTAAATTATCTTTCAGAATTGATACATATGAAAATACAACTGCTTAGACTATATTTCTAATTTATCGCTTTGAAAGATCGATATATAACAGTATTAAAAATATTTTTGCACGTATTCTGGAAATAAAGATGAATATCGATTACGTGCACAAGAATACGAAAAGTAAAGATGAAATTAATCAAAAGATATTGATCTTGATAATTGATGTCCCAATTTCATTGAAATTAATATATCTTTTAAAATAATTTATTAATATTTCTATTAGTATTTATTTTTTGTTATGGAATATTTTATATTTTTATCAAATATATCAATTATAATTTTTAAATGTATAAATATTACTTAAATAATATCAAATAGTACAAGTTTCTACTCTATTTCTAATTACTAAAACTGTCGTTATTACAATTATCGTAAGTTGCAATCGTTTCATTAATTTTATGTTTATAAGAATATCATAGACTTAGTGTCAGATAACAAAGCAATTTACACCGCACTAAACATAACTCTAAACCTTATTATTTCATAGAAGGTAATATAGGATCTTTGAAGTTTATGCACAACCTTCATTTTTAAAACTTGATCATAGAAAAAGTTTGGATATAAATATAAACATTTACATTAATAGAATATAATTATAAATAAACGAAAAAGCTTATTTATTTATGAAAAGATACTTTAAAAGAAAATTCATTTCAATCAAGATGTTAATCTTTTCTAAATCAATATATCTCAAAGTTTTAAGTTTAGTTATAGGAATGTTTATAGATATTAAAGAATTCAATTACAAATAGTATTACATATCTCAATACTTTCCAACAATTTTTGAATTGCAAGCCTTTTTTTCGTAATATTAAAATAACTTACACCTACATCTCGAAATAAGATAAAGAAAATTAAAAAAATTAACACATCATAGCGATATGACTAATGACTGCCTATAAGTTAACGAAATTAACGTAAAATCACTTTGATATTCTTGTAAAATATGAATATTCAAAATATTGATAAGAGTAAAAAATTTATCTATTTTTTAGTGAACTAAATTTTTTTGAATACTTTTTAATTTATAAAAAAAATAGCATTTTTTTAGATTTTTAAACAAAATAAATCCTTGCCCATATATGCTAGAATATACATAAGTTATAATTATGATCAATAAAAATATTTATGTTTATTTTCAATAAAAAATATTGATGTAACTTTTTGTATGTAATTTAACTTGTTTTATCCATTGGTCAAATTATTTCAGATTTACTTAACGTTAAAATAAATAAGTTCTAACAGTCATTGAAATCCGCGAAAACCATAACAATCATTAATTAAAAATGGCAACAGTAATCTCTGAAAAAACTTCGAAATTCCATAAATTAAAAATCACTAATATATATCATTTTGAAAATTACATATAACTTCCTTATTTTTCTCTAATTCGTTACAATCCACATAATTTTAACATAATATATTCATTGCTAAAAGAAAAACTTGTCTTGGAAGAAAATTTGCATTGTGATTTCTAACAAAAAGAAATATATTGAAATATTGTTTAATTTGTATTATTTATTCATCTCGAAGATTTTTATTCGATTTTTTATTCGATACTTTTTTCTTTTATCTATGCTTTTTGTAAGCATCGTATAATTTTACTTACTTCAACAACTATACACTTACGTTGACGATATATGATTTACCGTGACGTAATTCAAGGCAATGAATCTCTCTTAACTCGTAGAGAACTAAAACAGATGGTTCAATAAAATAAAAATTATTGCGATAAAACATTAAATAATCAGAATTCAAGAATATGTTTGAAAACTATATTTTTTGTGCATATGATTTTCCTCGTAAGATTTATAATTAGATTTAATATTGGCAATACTTTTTTCCTCTTATCAAAGCGTTATTTTATAATTTATAATTTAAAATAAAACAAGGAAATAATAATGAGTAATTTAATATATTGACAATCAATAATAAATTTATTGATTTTTTTTATCTGGATTTTATTCTATTTAAAAAATTTACGAAATAAAAAATATCTTTTTTATTTTCGAATTATTGTAGATTAAATATTCATTGTTCGTATAATTTGATAATAAATTATAACATAAAATAAAAGTTTCAAAAGAAAAATTGTAAAATTTCAAATAAAAGAATAATTTTTTTGTTTACACATATAATATTAATTTTTTTGTTCTTATAATTTCTTCGTATTAATTATTATAAGCTAATATAAATATATTATAATAATTACTTATAAAACTTATTATATTTAATTCTTAGTAAAATATAAAAATGCAAATAAAATTATTTACAGACTGTTAATCACAATAATCCAAGATAAAATGGCAATGCCATCTGAGTGAAAATAACCAGTTATTATAATTATACGATTATAAATAGAAATAAACCGAACTTCCAGTTAAAAGCTAATTATATATAGTACAGACAAACTTTTATCAAGTTAACACGATGTGGAAAACATGATAAAAAATAAATTTAGCTTCGCATTTTTAATCCATTTCTTCAGAAGATGAAGAATATGAGTATATATATTATAAAAAATCATTAATTATTATAAAATGG